GGCGACTCGTGGAGCTGTCAAGAACATCGAGGATGTAGTGAAGTGAATAAAGGACAAGAAAGAAAAAAGGAAAGGCTTCCGTGCCTACCTTTCAACTCCGCGTTTCTTCTTGCCGTTGCATATTTGCCAGAAACCTGATCATTACGCAACCAGAATGAAAAGTCCTGCGCATTTTGTAACGTGCAGTCAAGAGAACGATGCTGGAGATATACCATATCACGCTGGTGAGAGAGGGAATACGAAGATCCGAAGCTACCACGTGAACGATTACAGATCGGAGACGCCGTCGGGAACGCCGAAACGTCGAAAATCAGGTGGGGTGGGCACACGATGCTTCATAACGACTACTGATGGACAAGATCTGTTAGCGACTGGATTCCTCGGTATGTCAGATTCAGCACATGAAGACCACCCCCCGATGTTCGGACTTTTTTCTAACGAAGACGGTATAAGAAAAACTTGATGTTCGGCGAATTCGAGCGACAAAAATTTATTCGCTCCCGCTAGAGTCACTAGACAGTCAACGTAACGACAAGTGATACAACTGACAGATACATCTGTCATTGATTGGTTTAAGATATTCGATTAGCTCATCAAAGGATGAAATTTGTAACACCTTATTTCCTTAACACTATTAGTGTCTTGCAGTTTTTAATCACATCGAAACGTATGAATATCATTTATTCGTACTATGCTATTTATTAGTACTAAAGCTGCTCTATAAGTAGTGAAAAAGTTTAGAGTGAGTGAATCTTCGTGTACAAGAATGCTTTTCGTGAACCTGTTAGTGAGCTAGGAACATTTAGCTAGTAGTAGAGCTTGAATATTTATTGTTTGGTGAGCCTAGAGTTCTAGTATTTTGGGAAGAGAAAGGGTGAAAAAAAGAAGAAGAATTTGAAAAGTATTCGAATAAATGGGAAAGAAGATATGTTTGTCAAGTGAATTTCTGCTATTTGTAAAACGTTTATCTTGTTTATTGTATGCGCATGTTTCTGAACAACAGAGAAGTTTGTTTTGGAAAAAATTTTGCATGGAAGGCATCGTAAACGGAGGTCAGCACGCAGAGAACAGTGGTAATGATGCCAGTCTATGCGAGCAATACGTCGACTCGACCTCGCGCAGAGCCAGCCAAAACGTTACCGCTCGGGGGTTGGATTATTGGTGCCGGACTTATTTGGAGTCCCCTCATTCTCTTTAATCCCCAGGAACTGTTGACTACTTGTCATGAAGATTTCGGAACGCCCCAGCAAGAAAATCCAAGAAAAGGCAAAAGTCCTCAAGCAGCAGATAAACCCACACACAAAATCCATAGATCAGTTGATGCAAGGGAAGGGACAGAAAGCAAAAGAAGTGCTAGTACCCGTACGATATGTGGCGTTGGGGACGTGTACAATAAAAAAAGGCAAAAGTAAAATGAAGTCTGGTTGTCTTAGACTACTGTGAAGAGTAGGAAGACGGTATCTAACTGTCAGATGGCTTAGATCAGCTGTGCTCGTAGTAATTCTATCAATTCAATTTATAACTGTTGAGAAGCTCAGGCACTGTTGAATACTTATAGACTTGCTTGGATTTTGTGCGCATTCGTTTACCTGATGGAGAATTGGGACCAGTACCTCAATTTGGCGACGTTTTCAGATTGTTCATGAGTCTTCGAGTAAGTCATGTTTTTGAAGGTGACTTTTTTGACAATTTCTATTTTTGTTCACGGACAAGCTTATGCTAGGTTACTATAAAATGATGCGACTAACGTTTTGCGCTGTCACCTTCTTCGAAGTTGCAACGATTCGTGTAGAGTGTCCATAATAGCTGCAATATGTAGTCCTCGATGCCATCTCAAGTGGAATCCAGTAGAGTAGAACCGCACGAATAAAGTGATCTCATCTTATGACAGACCTTTTTGTCGACACTTTACTCGAATCTTGGCAGGCAGCTCGGAAAAAAACGTTTGCCATTGGAACGCTAGTAATATTAACTTCTTACAGCTGGATTTGGCTTACTTGAAGTGTTTCAGTGCGGTGTAACAATGCGTGACTGGTGTGAATCAATGTCACCACGACGATACAATGTCGATGAGCGTCGAATGGTGCAATTTGGCATGCATCACCACTTTTTGAGAAAGCTTTCTATTTATCCTATTCCAACAATTCCTCCAAGCGAGGTGGAACGATCTGGAAGGTAAGGCTTTCCTGTTTATTTATGGTACCGAAATCAAAACATTATACAGATGACTCATAAATTCATGTTTGTTTTTAATGATGCTCCTTTTGACGTCACAGCGCTATTACTGCATTTGACATGTAATAACAAATTTAACACTACCCGTTTCTTATTAATGTTACCAAATCATGAGGGAATGCGTTTATAGTGGAGTTGAGATATGTTGACAAGGAATTTCTGTTTTATTTTTCACGTATTGCCACTTATAATGAATACCAATGATATCACCTGTATCACCTGTAGCTCCTTTAGTCCTAGACTGACTTGAGCAGATATCGGTAAAACTTTTATTCGTCCTTGTCAGATGTCAAAGCAGTAGGCGCCACACGAGGTAAGACTTCGCATGGACAAACGTAGGACATGTATCAGTTGGTTTAATGGAGTACGTAGTCTGGCCACTCTAGGAACCTGGAAATTTGGTGGTTAATCCTCTGTATATAAATACTGCGGCAATAATGCGATCACGAAAATAACAATGTGCTTCGGAAATGTAGGGTTTTAAGAACAACTTCAATACATTGACGGTGGTGAACCACGAGCGCCTGTGATTAAGATGAGTCGAGTTTATGCTACTTAACATAGGCGTGAGCGAGAAGCAGCGGTCAAGAGAATGCGAGTGATTTCAGGAGTCGATAGTGACTTCTGCATACTATTTGGAAACGAATTGATTACTGTAGTGGATGTGACTCATTCTAAACGACTGCTTCACAAGTATGTAGGTGCCAACACATCAAGGCATTACAGAGCGCTTACTTTCCAGCTGCGAAGCAAGAACATGGTAGAGCTGTTACTAGGCACTTCTAGCTAATGCGAATACGATTTCGTAATGCGTTAGACTGCAATGTTGTATGCTGAACAACATGCGACTAATGTAAGAAACATATGATGGTCTCAGGAAGTAGAGCGTATTAGAGAGTATTCTCTAAAAGATACATGATGTTTTGTATAGCATTTTTCCCAAACGTTTACCGCCTCATCATGGATAGGAGGCGTTCCTGGGTATCCGGCTGCGATGTACACCGAGAGGATTCATACCCCCAGAAAGGCCTTCCAAGCTGAGAAGGAGTCCGGCGTTTCCATCAGAAAATCCAGCTGAGAGTAAGCCAATACCAAGATCCACCACTGTCCTGGTACCAGACTAGTCGCCTGGTGGCAAATTTCCCGCTAATCCACAAGGACAGCGATTGTCTTTGGTGGTGACGACCTGGGGCAGACTTTGGCCTGGTTGACTTCGGGACTCCAAGGAACCACAGTGGCTAGAGACCAGCAAAACTCCAAAACAATGGAAATTATCCTGGGGCCGGCATAACCAGTGAAGACAGGCCATCTAAGTATCCAAGTAAGTAGTATAGAATTGCTTTACTTAAACCACCTTAGTGTAGCGGTGAGGTTCCTTTTGTATATCGTAGCTCGAGATCCAGCATTATAATTGTCACGGTGTCGAGGCTGTAAAGCATTTATTGAGGAAGGATGCAAGGTCTAATCTGTTTGTATCTTTTATTTATAGAATCTTTCGTCTTTGTGATGGTACTCGAGCATTAGAGGATCTTGCAGTAATCTACGAGATGATGCCCGATGAGCTACATCACATCTTAAACGAATCTGGTAAATTTAGGTTTATAAGTAGATAACTGTTGTGAGTTGTTTATGATTTAATCCTATATATATTCTATTGAGAGATTTCTATTCCTTTAAATTTATTCTGTCTTGCTACCACGCGTGACCCAAAATTTCTTGTGCCATTGTGCCAGTTTTTCTAGATTTACAGGTATATCGATGAATTTGTTTGTTCTTCTTTTTGTTTTCTGTTTTCAGTTCCGCATGTATTTTGGCAGTTGCTCCTTTCTTATGTCAATCCTGTGATTAATTTACCTTTCTCGTATGAGCTCTACCTTCCATTTAGGGCTGCTTTTTGAAGTAAAGTTTGTACTGTCATATTTTCAGGTGCTCATTTTTCTTTAGTGGTTGCAGTTTTCTTCTGTGAATTATCTCTTTAATCTTCGTGATCACTTTGTGGCCCTCTTGATCAGAGATTATTGTAGCTTCTCTGCACGCCATTTAATAGTGAGTTTTTAAATGTGTGGATGATTTGTTGAACATGTTTTGGTGTTGTTTAATACATCTGTGACAGCGCGCATTGATATAAACATATTTTACTTCCGGTAGTTTATTTCATCAAATCGAAGTTTCCTTTCTTTCTACTACACATTTTTGTTCTCTTATTCCATCGGCTTTCGCAGCACAAATGTCGGTTACATTGTACATGTGGTAGTTCGTCCACCGTCCAGGGAATATCACTGATGAGGAGTCTAACGATATATCCGCTGACCGGAATATCATAGGTGAGCAGAGTACGAACTTATCCACGAGGTAAAATGTGAGTACGTAGTTGCTGCGCCAATATTTTGTCCCTTTTAGCTACTGATCACCACAAACTGTTGCTAGCCAAGAAAAGTACTTGATGCCTAGGTGGAACGAACGGTGCGCTCTGAGTTCATTGCGATTCGGATTATGAGTTTTCGCAAATATGTTGGATGTTGTGATCCTGTCAAAAACACAACCGTGCTATTGAGTATAGAGTAGCCACTTATGTATAGCCTAGACCGACTTTCCGTTATCAGTGCACTGCAGGTCGTATTGATAGATTGGCATGATATGTAGTCCACCACGCCTCTGTCTACATTTATCGCATTATTGATTCTAATTCTGTCCAATGTCAGCGGCGTGTAATTGTTTTCCATAGTGTTCATAGTGTAATTTAGTAATGGAGTACATCTTTAGATATGCCGAACTCGAAGCTTGTACTTTATTCTTATTGGCGAAGTTCGTGTGCATGGCGTGTTCGGATAGGTACGTTCCTAGGTTGCTGGTCCCTCATTTTGAGTTTATACTAGGGAAGTGTTGACCTGTTCCTCATAAATAGTTCTAAAGGATTACGTCAATTACAGGATTGTTGTAAGTTTTTACGAAGATTGTATTCTGCTGATCGAATGGTTCTTTGTATCTTTATTAATTAGCAAGTAGCTAAATAGCTCAACTAGAGTGTTTTGTATGTATTCGCTCATCAAAGCCTTTTTTTATAGCTCTTAATCTCAAGAACGTTGAATACGAATACAGAAGTGTCAACTTACTGTCTGCTGATGATGTGGTATGTCGTTGTAAGAGGTAACCCAACATGGTTGTACCCAACACACATGTTTTAGAACGAATTTGTAAAAGTAAATCCTACAAGAAAAGTACCGGCTCTTGTGGTTGATGATAAACATCTCACTGAGAGTTTGGCGATAATGGAATACCTGGAGGAGGCGTATCCAGATCGTTTCCCACTTCTACCAAAAGATCCTATTCAGAGAGCACAGTCACGGGCTATCGCTTTACAGGTTAGAATCTATGACCTTCTTCGATCTGCATCATGTGAAGATGTAGGTAGCGAATGAACAGTCTAACAGTTATCTAACGGTTTGTCGAAATTTCATCAATTTTTAGGTTACTGCTGGTATCCAACCAATACAGAATATTCGCGTCTTGAAGTACGTAGGTGAGCAAACACCTGGTGCTGCTCCTGAGGTATTCAACGGTTCAACTTGATCTTATTACATTTTAAATCAAATGAGTTATTAATGTTGATAATTACGGTGGGCTGCATATTGGTTGACCGATGGTCTTCGTGATCTTGAAGATATGGTATCACGTTGTGCCGGCGTTTATGCCGTAGGTGACAAGGTCACGCTAGCCGATCTTTGCATTCCGTCGATTATCTATAACGCTAAAAGGTATACGTTGCCCTACATTTTTTGTCTTCCATAGTCAAAATAGTATGGATTTCTTGAAGGTGGAATGTGGATGTTTCACAATTCCCGATTCTTTGCAAGATCAATGACACACTGGCTCAAATTCCTGAATTCCAAGCTGCTCATCCAGATAAGCAACCCGACGCGAACTTGAACGTGTAATCTGTTTTGTAATGTTTTACTTTTAACTTTTATAGTGAAGTTAGATGAATGTTATTCAATGCGTATATTTATGTTTTTCTGTTCCAGTTCTGATGACTTCGTATTATTGTAATATTTCATAACGTATAAGACTATTTACTGACATTGTGAGTAATGAGAACAATAGTGCATTGGGTGTCCACTGCTATTTACCGTAGAATGAGTCACAGTCTGAAGTAAGTCGTCGTGGTGTCTCATCTCTAGAACTCGTTCTTCGATGAGCCATTCATGAAAGTTGATCTGTTCGAAGATAGTTGAATGCTGAATGACGTTATATCGCTTCCATTTAAAATTTTCTTTGTTTCGGATGTTGGGTTTTTGACGATGATATGATTTTTTCTGGTGGCATTCAATGGATTCTTCGCATCATCGCAAATTCCTCGATGAGCCACCGATTATTTTCAATCGGCCGTTCATGATAACGAATTGGTCTCTTCGTCAACACAAAAGATAATATGATATTACAATTTGATGAAGTGCATATTTGAAAGAATTCGTCTTAAATGTGTTAGTTCGCATTAAAATTCGATGAGGAAGAGATCGAACAGGTACTCCATCAGGGCGAAGCATAATTCCAATAGCTCTTTTGCATAGATTTTTGTTAAACTGCTGTATAAACATTTGCAGTTCTTTTTAAGATAACTCATAAAATTTCAGTCCATACACATTACTGTCACCTCATGGTGACTGTCACTTTTTTTGCCGTTTTTTTTTTCTGAATGCCTCGATATTTCTCACAATTCTGCGTCACTGTAACTCCTTTCGTCACTACTAGTTGGTGCATAGATTCAGATGGCCTTCGGATAATGGAATGATGAGTAATTAAGTCCCTGATGTTATTATCTACAGGTTTTAACCAACATTTCTTTAGTTGTCCGATTTAATTCATTGGTCCTAATTTCGAAATGTCATTAAACTGGTGTTACCTTGAAAACGGCAAGTTCAAGCACCTGGGCCTTCCCTTTCTCTGGGCATCGAAGCCAATATTTTCGAAAGTTAAGACCTTTTTCGATTACGAGAACTGGTTTCCAGGTTTGATCATCCTTCCGTATTGGTGAGTAACGTGAAAAGTATGTATTCGTGGTCTGGTTGTGGATGGTCTGTATAGTCATCTTCAGTTTTGAAGAAAAATAAATGACCACCTGCAAGAGATATTTGTGGCTGAGTAAAAAACAACGTATTCTTTCGAAATCATGCGAATTACTGTAAACTGTACTTCTAAATATTTGACTATTGCGCAATGTTACGCATTGTTATCGCTGCGCAGCAGTCCTAATTAAACATTTGCGATTGCCTGTTCACCTCTGTTGACGTTGTCCGTTCGAAGCTTGTGAGTGGCGGCTATGTCGTGAACTCGTCGACGGAGGAATCTACCCTTCTTTTCCTCACTAACCTCGTCCGACAAGTTCTAGTCTCGACTCGGTTGCACTGACCACAACCACTCTTCATCCATCATTTTTTATCTAATTTTATTCTGCTTTGCTCATATCTGCAAATTATCGTGATTTAATCTGCTTCGTATGCGTTGTAGACAAATTCCGCGGGCTAAACAACTGCTAACGATAAGATGTCATGGGATGTAAGCGTACAAATTTCAGACAACCCTTCGGGATTAAGCAATGCTGTTACTAGAGAAGATCTTGCCGTGAAGTAGATATTCTGAATGGTATAGACAATAAAAGATAAAACTTTTGGAGTTGATTATTTCCTGAGGAGTGTGCTGTGCATTTGATTTCACCGAGCATCGTTAGAGGTAACTGAATGTATATCTGGCCCAAACAATAATCTGCAGTGGCATACCGACCCACCAAGTGAATGTTGCTATCCTCCCACAGTCAATGTTGCTATAGTACCAACCAGTTTGTCGACTCCCGAGGAAGGCTTGATGAGCCTGGGGCGCGCGGATCGATCACGTGTGTATTGCTGGGCATCCTTAAGCACTGCGCTATACGCGCTCAGTATGACTTGAATAATTCAACATGTTCATAAGAGGATGAGTGAAATAATTATAAAGGGACAAGTAATAAGGTGGTCGGTGTCTATTTCCACTGTAGGACTCCATACATTGGACTCCATTGGTAGCATCATAGAGTTGATTGGGTAAATATTTGGTTTGTGCAATGATTTGCGGTGCCCTACCGATGTATCAGGTCAATATTTCTATCTGCCTAGACAGATCTGGTCTGGAATTGTTTCCCATTCCAGATGGACTTAGTGTGCGCGAGATGCAGCATAGAAACAAAGACCAAATTTGTATTGGTGCTACATCAGTATAATTGCTATACTTTTAACATATTGGTAACTGTATGAATCATTGATTCCCCTTCAACTTTAAACAAACACGTGTCAACGTATATAGCATTCTGTTGATTAAAATAGAGCCTACAAAACAAATACTTGCTCAACTATGATGAGATTCGGATTTGTTGAAGCTCAAAAGCTGTGTTTTCTTTTTGTCATCAAACTTTTTTGGAAACAGTGATCTAATTGGTTAAAGGGGATTTCGTCCAGCATAATACGATTGTTGGATGGATGTTCGTCTTTAAAAATCCTAAGTATTCAGTTGCTTAAAAATAGGACTTTTGAGCAAATTCAAAATGAAGTATTCCTTTTTAGTAAAAAGTCGTGTATGGTCTTGCAGTAAGGGGTCAAAGGTTACTCTGCAGGTGGTCTAAAATCTTTAACACTTTCGGTGCTCAATAGTTATTGAGAATTTACCAGTAGCTATTGATAAATCAGCATCGGTTGTATTGATTCAGCCTCAGTTTGTCATCAAAATATTGCCATTTGAGAAGCGCCTTTGTCTTGACGAACTGTACGGGACATACGGCCTTTCTTTTCTTATTGGTTTCTTTCTCGTTTTGATTACCCATTATATTTTATTTTAGTCATTTGTTGTAGCTATGAAACTGTTTTTAGCACTACACGCATTCATTTGGTTTGTTCGCTCGTTTTTATGACCTGTCACCACTTAATGTGCGGATGCTAGCATTTCTTCCATTCAGATCGTCGTCTTGCATTTCTCATCTACAAACGTTTTCGGATTTGTGTGTGGATTCTTTTAGTACTTGAGAATTTATCTTCTTAAGAAATGTCATTAAGGTTGATCGAGTTGGTTCTCCTTGTAACCGTGGTATAGCTCTTTTAGAGTGCTCACAAACCCTCACCACTAGTAACTGCCAGCCTTTTTGGATTTGATGAGCTCTCCTCGGAAAAGTTTCATACCAATCTTTCGACCATGATGGCATTGGGCAGCTTGAGTTTCTCCGTTTGGGGTCGGACCGGTAGCCGTGATTGCATTCCGTGAAATCTGTAATCACTGCTTGTGTTTCATTCTCTTACATGAATAGTTATTTACTTGAGCAGTCTATGTACTCACGGATGGCATCGCGCGCATTCCCAGAGCAGACATCAGCTTTGATTTTTAGAAACAATGTAGTGCCACATTCATCATATTTCCTGGTGAACTAACTCCAGACTTAGGTTAAATCAACGTTCAGAATACGATCCAGCTATTAAGAATCATATCCAAGCAAAATAGTGTAAATATGATTACTTGTTGCGGGAAGATAAAGGTCAATCGGATGCAGCACAAACTGGAATTCTATCGTAGTACTTCCGTTCCAGATAGGAAAATGGTTGGTTTCGGTCCTCGGTTAACCATTTCCGCCATTTCGTTGCGTCCCTCGTAACCTCATAACAAACCGTGTACAGTTTCCCTCAAATAAGGTATATCTATTTAAGTCGCTTTCACTTCTTTTATGAGTGAAAACCGAAGGGGCGTCGTATCATTGACTTCTGTTTGTTGAACACGTTCACATTCTCGCATTATAATATCTTAAGACGACTGTATTTTCTTTTCGCACTAATGCCATTTTACTGAAGTTGGAGTTATTGCGTTATCTGGAAGGGTCACCTAGTTGTTTTCCTCAAATTCAATACTTTTACGGCGGTGTTATTTTCCTGTTGCATGCCAATAATTTTTCCCGAAGTAAAATGGTGACTTCACACACTTTTAGAACAGACTTTGACCTGTCCCTTTCAGAACACGCATTTATTTCCTGACGTTTTTGTTCATTTCAATTTAATATTGAAAATATTAATACATTGTGAAGTGTTAAAGTTCTCACCATTTCACTATGCCACTTGAGAATATCGTGTTATCTTGTACAAGATACCGCTTGAAAGTATGAAGATAATTTTGACCACATATGACTCGTCCGTGACTTATATGACCATGAATGTGCTAATATCCCTTGATTTCGAGATCTTCTCAGGTTAATTTTTGATCTATTTCAAGTAATCATTCAGTTACATCGTCTATAATTGATCCTTTTGAGAGTATTGAATTTTACACTTATGGTTGAATCATTTAAGGAATGTCACATGCCGACTCATTTTTAATTACAACAATTACAATTTTATGCGCTATTGTAATTGCAACTTGTGCTTCACGCTCCAGTAATGGTGAGTTGTAGAATATATTCTAGTAATATGAAATACTTAAAAAGAGCACGTGTGGCGCAGTTGTCGAAGGCGCCCTGTAGTACACAGGTTCGATTTCCTAGCCCTAGGATCACCAAGTCTTCTATCCCTGCGAGATCAGCAAATTGGTAGCAGACTTGTCTGGGAGGATAGCAGCACTGCCTCTATACATTCGTAGACCACCGCGAGTAATTGTAAATGCCAGACATGCAATTCAATCACCTACAGCGATGATTAATTAAATCGGATGCATGGCGTATCTTGATTGATCAACGCCGAGAGCTTTATACTTTTTATCCTTTAATGAAAGACTGAAGTAAAATCGTCTGAGAATACGATTCGTACTGTAATAGTATTTAGATATTTTCTTTCAAGTGTGGCTAATTCTTTGCGGTTACTTCTACGTACCACTGAGGAGCGAAACTGCATGACTATCGAATAATTAATTTGGATGGAAAAATGTTTTTTCGTTCGCA